CCACAACGAAGTCCAAAGTTATTATTCATATTGTAAACAACTACAACGAGAGATATAAAAAGAAAATATGAAAAGAAAGAAGAAGAAAAAGATAAAGATGAAGAAGACTACAAGGTGTTGCACTCAAAATTAGATTTATAGTAATATTTGTAAATTATGTAAAAGCAAGGAGTTGTTGCTCATATCTTGCTAAACACTTGTGTGTTTTATCATGTACTTAAACTAGGAGTAATATGCTTGTTAAGAAGCATTCTTGTATTCTCTAGAAACAATTCTTTTTAGAATTGGTGTTGCCTCAAGTGATCGAGTGAAAATTTGTATACTTGAGAAAACTTTGACAGCTGGTCATTGTAGATGAAATCCTTTCTAAGGGACCAGGTAGGTCAGAATCCTTGAGGGGTCAGTGATGGTTATATCTCTTAAGGGGCTAGGTAGGTTAGAATTCTTAAGGGATCACTAATTGTATGATCATTGTTGTTGTTAGTCACTAGCGGGTAGCCCGTGCATCTATAACCTGTTGAGATTAGTGGATTCAGTCCTTGTCTAAAGGAAAATCATCTGAGGAGGGTGGACAAGATGTAGCCTTGTTGAAGATGAACTTGGATAAACTGAATGTGTCTCTTTATATTTCTAACACTCTATAATCTTTCGTAGTTTTATCAAATAGTTTTTCAAAAGGGAAAAGTTTTGAAAACCCAACTCAAACCCCCCCTTCTTGTGTTTTTCTCTAACTTCAGATCTTAGCAAGGAGTTCGAAATGTATGACCTGGGCGAAATTTCATACTTCCTTGGAATGGAATTCTACAAGAGCAGTAGAGGGTTGATGATGCATCAAAGAAGATATGCAAGCAAAATAATCAAGATATTTGAGATGGAAAACTGCAATATGACTTCGACACCTGCAGAACCAAGACTACGATTGTCAAAAGACAAGATGAAGATGATGTAGAACCAACACAATACAAAAGACTTATTAGATCATTAAGATACCTTTGTCACTTAAGGCTTGACTAAGCATACAATGTAGGTATGTTGAGTAGATTGATGCAGAAGCCAAATGTAACACATTTAGCAGCGACGAATAGGATACTAAAGTATCTGAAAGGAACTCTTGAATATGGAATTCTGTTTCCGTCAGCTGATGAATGAAAATAATGCAAACTAGTGAGTTACACTGACTCAAGTTGGTGTAGTGATGTTAAGGATAAAAAATCCACAACTGGTTATGTGTTTATGCAAGGTGGTGCATCCATTGTTTGGAGTTCGATAAAAGAACCAATATTGGCAATATCGTCATGTGAATCAGAGTACATAGCTGGTTCTCTTTGTGCATGTCAAGTAACATGGATGGTGAACTTGGTCGAAGAGATAACGGGAAAGAATCATGGAGTAATTAACATGAAGATCAACAACATGTCAACTATCAATTTGGAGAATAATCCGATAACACATGGATGAAGCAAACACATCGAAATGAGGTTCCACTATCTTTGAGATCAAGTAGAAAAAGCGTAGCTGAACTTGGAACACTATAGAACTGAGAATCAGATTGCAAACATCATGACAAAAGGACTACAGGTCGAAATCTTCAAGAAATTAAGATCAATGATGAATGTAGATAGCTTAGACACAACGAATTAGGTGGTGTGTTGAGAATGTAATTCATGGCGTCGAAGCATGTTGCAGTTGAAACACCTAGAGTTGTCGAAACGTCGAAGTAGGTTGCTCGACTGGGTTTTCGACTTAGGTTTATTTTTATGTATTTTTGGGCTTTTGTATTTTGGGTTTTGGCTTAGGGAACAAGCAAACCCAACTATAAATAGAAGGAGTAACCCCTATCATTGAACATGTGAATAATATTGCAGTTTGCATAATAAATAGCAGATTATTTACTATAAAAATTCACAAACTCTTCTTCCTTTTGTTCAAATTCTAATTAAATTTCTTCCCAATTCATCTTTTCTTTTCTTATCCATTGTCATTGTGAAGTGATAATCATCTTGCAATCAGGTTGATTGATTCATTTTAGTGAAGAGTGAAGAACAAGAGAAAAATTCGATTGATAGATTGAATTTTGTTCATCAAGATTGATTCGAAATTATTTAAAATTTTAGGTTTAATTCCAACAGTAAATACATGACAATTATTTTTCATTAATTAATATTAAAAATACATGGCAAATTTGTCATAGGTGAATTAAAAAATAAATAAATTTCTATCTTTAATAAAAATATCAACAAAAAAAAGAGAGACCCATATATAACTTTAAAGTTAAAAAAATAACATAAGACAAATATTTGAATTACGAAATTGAGTTTGAAAAAGCTAATCCTAACAATTTATTTGAGTGTATAAAACAAAATTATGATGATCATACTCATTCTATACAATTACATTAAAGTCCAAAATAATCGTCTAATGAAAAATATTATTTCTATTATTTATAATTTTTAAGTTAATTATGTCACTTAAACTCTAAATTATATTTATTTAATTAATTAAGTAGATTATTCATTTAATATCTTTATAAATTTTAAGATAACACAATATTTATGACAAATTCGCTAAATAGCACAAATATTTAAATATAATTTTGAATGAAAATTTAAATTTACCTTTTTTTAAATATTAAAATTTTGGGAGTGACCACATGTCTTAAGTAAGGGTGATAAAACGGATCGGATCTGTTAGATTGGTCCGTTTGAACTGTCATTTTTGGCGGATTGAGTTGAAATTTTTGGCTCGGTATCTTAAGTTGGTTCGTCCTGTCTAATCCGCTTAAAAAAGCAGGCTTATGCTGAGCGAGACAGGTTTTGTTCGTAGGTTTTTTGTTAAAACTTTTTTATTTTTTTACTTAAAATTAAAATAATTTTAACTATAAAAACAACACTTTTCTCTTAGGATTATATTGATTGAATTGTATTATAAATTATTATATAGACAAATTGAATTATAATTGTAACTTTCTTTCTATAACTTTCTAATATATGCGTTGATTGAAAAAAGTTGAAATAAAAGAACAATTGTATGGAATGTAAAATTATTAAGTTGTCAATACATTAATTCAGATGTTTTCTTCAGAAATAGATGTTGATTTTAAGAAAATGAAGGATTTGATTAGTCTATACATGTGACAAATTTATGATTTAACTATTAAGAAATTTGTCAATATAAGAGTCTATATGATGTAAACAATGAGAAAGTTCAATGTTGATATTTTATGTACTACTATTTTATGCACTGTGATGTTTTATCATTGTTGGTTTTGTATAAATTTTATATTGGGTTCCTTTAGTAGTTAGTTTTTAAATAAGATTAGGATGATGTGTATTGTTTATTTATTTATTTAGATAATATTTTTATTGTGCTTAAGTTTTTTTATTGTAATAGGTTTTTATTTATTTTATTTTTTGAATTGTTTGGACTTAAGACATGTTAAAGTTCTATTATGCATTGTTAAAAAATTTCTTTTGTCGTCCTCTTTGGTAATAATTAATTTTTTTTCTAAATTATGTAGTAAATCAAATTGTAAAATAAAAAAAAATTGGTGGACCAACCCGCCAACTCGTTAGTAAACGAGGCGGACTTGACTTTTGAACTTGGACACCTAAGTTGGCCCGCCCCGCTCTGCCCCACTTTTAGACGAGCTTAAACGGGGCAGACCTAAATGAGATGAGCCACCTGCTTTATCACCCCTAGTCCTAAGTGGTCTCGTTCCTGTCAGAGTTGTCTTCTTTTTTTATAAAAGGAAAATATCATATAAAAAAGTATTACAAAAGAAGGAGGGGGACCAAACCAAACCCTAACTTAAAAATTTCTAACTCCAAAGTTAGGCCATCCTAACTTGTTGGACATAATGCTGGACAAAAGCTTTGCGGAATAATAATGAAGGGCTGGTAACTATCTAACATAAGACCTTTATTTGCCAATAAGTCGGCACACAAATTAACCTCTCTATACACATGAGTAATAAAAAAATGTATTTGTCTAGTGTAAGAATAAGAATTATGCCATTTGTTCCTAAGAGACCAAGGGATAAATGCTTGATTGTTGAAAGCCTTGACGGAAAGAGAAGAATCAGTTTCTAGCCACAAATGATTCCATTGATGTTGTTAATCCCCTTCAATAGCTCTTAAAGCTCTAAAAGTTTCAGCAAAAAAAGCATTGTGAAGTCCTAAATTTTTTGAAAATCGGACTATAAAATCACCTGAGCTAATGCGAAAGATACCACCATAAGATGAAGTGATATTGTTAGTAGCTTCATCAGCGTTAACTTTCACCCAAATGTCAAGAGGGGCACCAAAAAAATTTCTATGGTCGGAAGGGGACGAGGAGGGTGAACTGGAACATCAAAAATCTTCAAAATCCTGAAATTTTCCAAAGAATTTCAGAATGTAAGGGTGTTCCAAGTTCCATCGAGTAGAACATGAGCTTTGATGTGAGTAATTGCAATAATCCAAATTGTTGAAATATCTTAGAATCTCATCAAGTTTATGCAATTCCAAATGGTGTGAATGATATTGATAATGAGGGCCTAAACAACCACCATGCATTGCAGACTCCAATTCTAATCACATAACTTCAAAACTTCTGCTGGGCAAGATAGAAGGATCCTACAATTAAGATCCCTAGACAACCAAGTCCAAATGTTAACTGCAAAAGAAAATTAAAAAAGGATTAAAAGTGGACTATTCTTTGAGATAACATTGACTACATATCGAAGGCATAAAGGAGCCTCACATTTTAAGATTATTTTTCGTGGGGAGCTTATTGTGCATAAGTATCCAAGAAATAAAAGATCTAATAGGGGGGATATCCTTGCTCCATACAAACACAGGCCAATGGAATTGATTGATCTTTTTATACTTGAAATAATAAGCCTCTTTTAAAGATAGATCTCCCGCTTCAGAAGTTGTCCACACCAATCAACCCTCTTTGTTTTCGAATGGTAGGATCACTTGGTGCACAACGACTGATATGTTTGGACAATAATCCATCGCCTAATGAGGAATATTCCAATGATGATTATGGATGTAACTTAAGACCATATCATTTAAGGATGCACGCCAAGCTGCAGGTATATTGAAGGTATCATCCAGACAAGTTGTGCCACACCAATGATCTAGCCAGAAATTAGTTTTGTGTACATTACCAATCGGAGTTGTGGAGTTCTCCTTAACAACATGAAACTCATTCTTAATTCCACTCCAAATAGTAGAAGGAATGAGATGATTGATACATCTAATACCTCTTAAAACCCGAGCTCTAAGAATTCTAGACCAAGAATCATTAGACTATATCATATCCCAACAAAGCTTCAGATTGGACACTTCATTTAAAGTTACTAAAGATTTGATGTTTAATCCTCCCTCAAAAATAGGTTTGCAAATCTTTTTCCAAGCCACAATTACTAATTTCCTCTTGTTAACATCTCCATACTAGAAGAAGTTCCTGAACCAGACCTTCATCTACTTTATCAATGAAGATGGCCAAGAGTATGTGGTAATGGAGTAGACCATCATACCATGAATAACAGATCTTATGAGTAGTGCTCTACCAAAATCGGACAATAACACAACTTTCCAAGAGGCCAACCTGTTCTTGATTTTGTCCACCAAGTATCAGAAGTGTAACCTCTTAGGGTCTCCTCTAAAAATATGTATACCTAAATACATAAAAGGAAAAGAACCCAAAGAGAAACCAACAAACTGAGCAAGATCAAGTTTCCTGGACTTAGTCATTGCTCCATAAAAAATAGTTGATTTATCAAGACTAACACATATCCCCGAGCAATTAACATATCTAACAAAACGATTCTCGAGTTACTGAAAATTACTCTTCTTACCAGTGCAGTAGATCACATTATCATCTGCATATAAATAATGTGAAGGGATCATGACTCCTCTAGATGCCTGAATTAACTTAATTTATTCTCCTCCACCAGTTTGGAAATCTGCCTGCTATGCACATCCTCTACAAGACAGATAAGAAAGGGTGATAGAGGATCACCTTGCCTTACCCCTCAAGTGCATTTGAAATAGCCATGCAAGGATCCATTGACAGAGATAAACAATGCTGCAGATCCAAGAATAACCTCAATTCAATGGCAAAAAATTTCACCAAAACCAAAAGCCCTAAGAACCTTGAGAAGGAAAGGCCATTCAAATGTGTCAATGTGTTTGTCACATCAATTTTCAAAGCAATATTCCCTGCAAAAGACTTGTTGTGCAAGGAGTTTTCCACCTCTGATGCCAAGCAGCTGCAATCTTTAATTTGTGTCCCTTGAATAAAGCCCATTTGTTCCAATGATATTAGTTCAAGCATCATGGAAGCTAACATGTCGGCCAGAATTTTGGTAATCACTTTGAACTTGAAATTAGCCATTGCAATTGATCTGAATTGTCCCAAAGAATTAGCAACATTAACTTTAGGCAAAAGGGCCAGAATATTAGCATTAAAATTGGGTAACAACCAACTGGTTTTGAAGAATTTTAAAGTGGCTAGCTCCACATCTTTATAAATAATGTCCCAAAAAATTTGAAAGAAAAAGCTTCATAGCCATTAGGGTCAGGAACTCCATCTTTGTTCAAGACAAACACAACATTTTTTATTTCCAAAGACGATGGGAGCATAGCCAACATAACATTGGATCCCTCATCTATCAAATTGGAAATAACATCATCAACAAACCTCTGGTCGTGTACAAGTGCACCATTGAAAGTGAATAAATTTTCAAAATAGTTTGTATATGATATGTGATGTCTTTGTTTTCAAAATTTATCACAGTTCAATCGTAATTAAAAAGAATTTTATAAAATATTTGTCACCTTTTAATCATAGTTAAATATAATTCTTATTTATTTTTCACGATTAAATCATGACTAACCTATACATAATTTTAAAAACACCTAAAAGGAATTTGATTTTTGCTTCTAAAATATTTATCGATTGATCACCAAATATTAGAAGAACATAATGATAGCTTGACTAGTTTTTGTTCAAAAAAACATTGAAAAAATTTACTAGAAAATAACATAGCAAAGTCTTCATGACACACACCCATACGATGCTTTAAAAGATGTTATACACCAAAATTCTCAAATGATTAATGTGTCAAATAATATATCTTGAGACTATACCGTCATTAGATAACAATCAAATTTTAACACTCTTAGAATCTATATATAAATTTTTTACACATGTAAAATATGCTGAATAAAATTATTCTCTTATATTTTATTATTATTAAAATCAAAATTAAAGAGTATTGTTTTTCAAACCAATTTTAATTTAATATAAATAAGTTTTTAAATGCACATTTATTTGATTTAAAGATTAAAATAAATTGTTTTTCTGCAAAGTTAAATCCTTCCATTTAATTTAAATTTAATGTGATTTGGATTGATGGGTTAATTAAGTTTTTTCTCTAATTTATAATAACATATATTACAAATTAAATAGCGGAGAGACTAACAATGGATGCTAGTGAAAAGAATACTGTATATTTAAACAATAGATGCTCGTGAAAAGAGCTACGTTAAATTAAAATCTAATTTCAAAAAAAAATAATTTATATTTTCACTACGCACAACAAAGTGAAGAGCCCAACAATGGTTGCTAGTGAAAAGAAAAACAATAAGTGATGTGCTAAAAATATTTTTAAAAAAAGTAATATATGAGAAAAATAATGATTAGATTTTTTCTCATCAGTGCTGTACTTGTCCCGATCAACTTCAACGTGAAGCCACTTTTGTCTTGCTTTTTATTTATTTATTTTAGTGAAGAAAGGAAAAGAGCGACATGCTTAATCATGTACATGACATGATGACACACTTTTCTAACCAATCATTTAACTTTTACACTTAAACCGTTTGACATTCATTGTCTAATTTCACATGAAAACAACAAAAATTAGTCAACTTTTTGTGAGATTAAAAATAATATCATAATAACGATTTTGTCATATATATATATATATATATATATATATATATATATATATATATATATATATATATATATATATATATATATATATATATATATATATATATATATATGTGTGTGTGTTTTTTTTTTTTATTTTTTATAAAAACTATTTTAACATATGTTTTGTTGTTTAATAATTTAACATATAAATGGGTTTATACATAAATAAAAAGTAAATTGATAATAAGTTTCACCGCTACTCCTCTTTGGATGACAAAGATAATCTTTTTAAAAATTACATTCATAAACATTGGAAATACAACATTGATATTCATAAGTTTTTGGACTCTCCGTAAAAGATCAAATGTTTCTGATGTTAGAAAATAAAAAATGTCAAAAGCAAGTGGTATAAATGCGCGCTGATTATGGGAACATGTTTTTTCATGTTTGACCACTTTACTTGAAGCAGCTTTGAGAGCTGTCTATTCTACCGTAAAACCTCCAGTCCACAATTCCATCGGTGGAGAATATTCAATCAAGTCCATACAAACATATTTTCCTCCTATCCAAACATACACCAAAATATTTGCGGACCTAAGCGACCATCTCCTCTCATGTGGATTAGTCAATAAATTCAAACATGCCTCTTTTTTTATAGATACTCTAATCTACTAAAATATATTAAACAAAACATTCCTAAAGCCTGAAAGCTTTTAACAATGAATGCATGTTGTGTGTTTAATAATAAATTAATTGTAAAATATTTGTTTATACATGTAAGTTATGTGTTTAATAAAGCTAATTTAAGCATCCAATAATTCTGTAAATTAATATCGTAGTATATGGAATATATGAAGAAAAAGCTTCATTGAAAATGTATCAGTTGTACACAAGTGAGGTAGCTCACTTATATAAGAAATAATGGAAATGGAAAAGTAATTACACCCAATAACTAACATACAGTTAGTTAGTTATTCAACAAACTACCACCAATAACTATTTATTACATCAATAGCAATATCATAATACTCCCCATCAAGTTGAGAGGTATATATTGTAAATTTCATACTTGGATATTAGATAATGAAAAGAGTTCCTTGGAAGGGCTTTGACGAGAGGATCTTCTAGTTGATAATTGGATGGAATGTGAATCAACTTGATGAAGTTTATAGACACATGTTCTCAAATAAAATGATAGTCAATATCAATGTATTTGGCTCTTTCATGGCTCATGGAATTGCTTGCCGTTTGGATTGCCAATGTGCTATTACAGAAGACTTTGCAAGTGGAAACATTGATGTCAAATCCCCTTAGAAACAATTTTAACCAAAATAGTTTAGATGTTGTAGAGGCCAAATATCTATATTCCGCTTTAGCATATAACCTCAAAATCATTATTTTCTTTATAGATCTCCAAGCTACCAAGGATTCACCAATGAAAATGCAAAATCTTGTAGTGGACTTTCTAGTTGTGGTGCATCTTCCCCAATCTGCAGCTGAATAAGCAAAGACATGAAGAGATTGATTTGTATACAATACGATCCCTTGACCTGGTGTGTCTTTCAGGTATTGCAACATATGGTGGATCCCGTTCAAATGTGATTATTGTGGTTTAGCCATATATTGTCTGAGCTTGTTGACTGCATATGAAATATCTGGTATGGAAATTGTCAGATACCAAAATCTACCAATTATTCTTCTATATTGAGAAAAATATTCAAGCAATGGTCCATCTTTATCATTGAAAATGACACTAGGATCCATAGGGAGAGAAACAAGTTTGGCATTGATGAAACATGTGTCGATGAGAAGCTGTAAAGTATATTTTCTTTGGCACAAATGAACCCCTTTACTTGACTTTGCAATATCTAAGCCACAGAAATATTTGAGGTCTCCAAGAAGCTTTGAACATGCTTTGGATAAGTGTCTGAGTCTATTAGATTAAGTTGGAATTTAGACTAGCAAGCATTATGTCATCAACATATACCAAGAGAGCTATCTGAGATTTGCATGTTCCTTTTGTTAATAATGAGTTATCTGCTGATGACTATTTAAAGCCATGTTGTATGATTGTTGTGGAAATTTTATGGTACCATTGTCTTGAAGTCTACCTTAGACCATATAATAGTTTGTGCAATTTGCATACCATGTTCTTCTCCTCACTTGGATAGACAATTGGAAAATCCATGTAGATCTCTTCAAAGAGATCACTATTTAAAAATCATTGTTGATGTCTAATTGAGCCAGTTTCTAGTTTTGAGCAGTCACTAGACTAAGAATGACTCTTACTGATGTCAGTTTGGCAATTGGAGAGAAAATGTATATGAAATTAAGGCGAGGTTATTGAATATAACCCTTAACAACAGTCAAGCTTTGTATTTGTCCAAAGAGCCATCTGCATTATATTTTGTTTTGTAGATCCATCTACATCCAATGGATTTATTGCCATGGGTAGAAGTTGAACTGCCCAAGTATGATTGGCTTTAAGGGCTGCTATTGTAAGTTTAAGATTGCGCATAAGAGGGGGGTGAATTAGGTGGTGGTCGATTTTTGATTTATTTTACACTTTCTGGTTTTGTTTTAGTGCTATAGAAAACGGTAAAGTGAAGAAAGTAAAGAGACACAGAGATTTATCCTGGTTCCTTCCACACCCCGGAAGTACGTCCAGTCCCCTTGCAAACACGCAAGAGATTTCACTATTTTGTTAGAACTTTTACAAGACTCTTCCTAGTCTTATCAACTAAAGACACTAACAAATACCAAGAACACCCTCTTGGATTTCCAATAAGTCTCTTGAGAACAATCCTCTCAAAAGATACCTCTTGTTTCCAACAATGGACAACAAGGTACAAAAGTATTTTAATACTTAATTCCAACAATCCTGGAAATAAGTTACACTTAGTATAATTCTATGAAATATGATTTCTTGAAAGATGTTAATCACATAGAGTGACTTCAATGAAGTTTCTTCTTTCTTCTCTTGTAAGCAATTAAAACTGTAACACAATGGTTAGAAAATGCTCAAAGATTTCTGTTCTTATATGTGTGAAAGTGCAGAAAATCTTTGTTCTTAAAAATTAAGAAATATGAAGTTTGAATATTTTACAAAGTTCAGAATTATTGCATGAGAGAAGAGTTGTTTTATAATTTTGAAAGATTTAGTATTTAAAGCAATCAAGATACCTTTCCAAATGGATACCACTTTTCTGTTTGTAAAACTTAAGAAGATGCAATGTATGACCATGCAACCATTGGAGAAAAGGTGTGAAGGATATCTTGAATCAAGTTCAGATTTTTCAAAAATTACAACATGTAAATCGATTAACATTAGATGTAAATCGATTGCACGGGTTTGTAACGTTCTTGTTTTCAAAAATTTGAAGTGTAAATCGATTTACATGATGTGTTAATCGATTTACCAGTGTTAAAAAATTAACTCAGTTCAGAAATCAATC